TCTCTCTCTCTCTCTCGAATAATTAATTCAAGTAGCTAAATGTTATAATTAATTAATTTAAATAAATGTAATCTTACCGCACTATTTCATCTCTGTGTCTGATTTGAAGCAGGCAGAATGCTAGAGCTAACGAGCCGTAACTGACGAAAATAACTGTCATTGTTACCCTTCCGGTCAAATATTGCGCTGCAAAGATCAATACTAGTTTTAACTTGTCTATAACTTGGCAAATGACCATGGAATATGCAGGATAATCAATGGCTTGCCGTGCATTAAAGGATTTTAAATGCACTTCGCGCCGGGTGGTTCTTTGCCTCCACGTCGTGCAATACTAGTTTTAACTTGTCTATAACTTGGCAAATGACCATGGAATATGCAGGATAATCAATGGCTTGCCGTGCATTAAAGGATTTTAAATGCACTTCGCGCCGGGTGGTTCTTTGCCTCCACGTCGTGCATTTAAAATCCTTTGATGCACGGCAAACCGTTGATTATCCCTTACTTAAATTACTTTTTTCCCACATCAATCTACACTCCATACACCATAATAAAGCACAAAACAGGTTTGTAACAACTTTGCAAATTTATTAGAAATAAAAAATTTGAATGATTCAATTGTATTCATACCCTTTTCTGGGGCACTTGAAATTGAGCTCAGGAGCATTCATATCGCTTGTAGATGTTAACATCTGACAGGAAACATACTAGAGACATATTGAACATGGGCAAACACTCTAAAAATGTGTCTTCCAGATGTAAACACACACATCAAATAGACATCTCTGAGATGTGTGTGTGCTACTAATCATGCAAAAAAAAAACACGCTAGAAACATGATAAAAAGCATTCTGAAATATTTTTTAAAAACTATATTAAAATTTCAGACAAGGCTTTGCCAAGCCAACATCAAAGTTTGTCTTCAAACCTTATGTGTCTAGTTTATATGCTATTCTAGTGTTCATTAATACAGGTGCATCTCAATAAATTAGAATGTCGTGGGATGATTTGGGGTGCAATGTCATCTGCTGGTGTTGGTCCATTGTGTTTTTTGAAAACCAACGTCACTGCACCCGTTTACCAAGAAATTTTGGAGCACTTCATGCTTCCTTCTGCTGACCAGCTTTTTGAAGATGCTGATTTCATTTTCCAGCAGGATTTGGCACCTGCCCACACTGCCAAAAGCATCAAAAGTTGGTTAAATGACCATGGTGTTGGTGTGCTTGACTGGCCAGCAAACTCACCAGACCTGAACCCCATAGAGAATCTCTGGGGTATTGTCAAGAGGAAAATGAGGAACAAGAGACCAAAAAATGCAGATGAGCTGAAGGCCACTGTCAAAGAAACCTGGGCTTCCATACCACCTCAGCAGTGCCACAAACTGATCACCTCCATGCCACGCCGAATTTAAAGCAAAAGGAGCCCCTACCAAGTATTGAGTACATGTACAGTAAATTAACATACTTTCCAGAAGGCCAACAATTCATTAAAAATGTTTTTTTTTATTGGTCTTATGGAGTATTCTAATTTGTTGAGATAGTGAGTTGGTGGGTTTTTGTTAAATGTGAGCCAAAATCATCACAATTTTAAAAACCAAAGACTTAAACTACTTCAGTCTGTGTGCATTGAATTTATTTAATACACGAGTTTCACAATTTGAGTTGAATTACTGAAATAAATGAACTTTTCCACGACATTCTAATTTATTGAGATGCACCTGTATTTTGAAAATTTTTATTTTCATTTTATATTTTAATTTTAGTTGAGTTTTAGTAACTTTATGTGCTTTTGCTATTTTCATTAGTTTCTGATTTTTAAATATTTCTATTTAGCTTTAATTTTATTTCAGTTTTAGCTTTAGTAGGTTTAGTACTTCAACTTAAGTTTCTGATTTTCATTTAAGTTTCAGTTTGCCTTTTCACATCTAGTTTTTTGTAACCTAACTATTAACCTAAATATTTTCAATAGTTGTGGTTAACAATAGCAATACTTTCACAGACAAAAAAATATACGTATGTTTCAGGAATGGTGACATTCCATGCATTTGAAAATGCAATAAAGGTTACCTCTTCACCTGTTAATCCACAGTACAGCAAGCACCTGTTTGTCCACATCGCCCAGACTAACCCCTCATACACAGACCCTCTCCTGGAGGCCGTGGACATCCGTCAGATCTACGACAAGTTTCCAGAGAGGAAGGGAGGGCTGAAGGAGCTGTATGAGAAAGGCCCTCAGAACGCCTTCTTTCTGGTCAAATTCTGGGTGGGTTTTTACAAATGCACGTTGATCATTGACAATGTTGTTCCGCTGAAAATACAGTAAATATTATAAGTCTGAAAAGTATAAGATACCAATTTAGTCTTAGATGTTGGTCTACTGTATGTGACACATTTTCAAACAGGTTTTTCCTGTAATGTCTCTCAGGCTGATCTGAACAGCAGTAATGTTCAGGATGGCGCAGGCTCGTTCTATGGGGTCAGCAGTCAGTACAGCAGCGCTGAAAACATGAGCATCACTGTCTCCACTAAAGTCTGTTCTTTTGGGAAACAGGTGGTAGAGAAAGTCGAGGTGAGTTCTAATTATTCATAGCTGTGTTTTTGTCATCTACCGTACATGGTCAGTACTGACAATATGGTTTCATGAAGAAAACCAGCTTCTATACTTTGACTTTTTGACCCCTAGACGGAGTATGCGCGTGTTGAGGGCGGGAGGTACGTTTACCGGATCCATCGGTCACCCATGTGTGAATACATGATCAACTTCATCCATAAACTCAAACACCTGCCAGAGAAATACATGATGAACAGCGTCCTGGAGAACTTCACTATACTGCAGGTAATAGAGTGAGAAAACAGGACCCATTTTTAATTCATAAGTGTGAACTGGCCAAATGCCCCAAAGGATGTTGAATCAGAATGACAGGAAAAGGAATTTACCTAGTTGCTTTTAATAGAGGGACTGACTAATGCCTATTTATTTCATTCAAAAATGTCATTTAAAATCTGCATACAATTTTCATATATTTTGGGTCCTGAAGAATCGTTGTTTTATAAAATAGTCATAAGTTAATACGTTTCAACTAAAACCATAATGTATCCGATCAGCAACTTCTAAATGTGAAAAAAAAATTTTTTAATGTTACCATGTTATTACTGCATTTACCCTTTTTTGATTAATTAAAAAAATTTAGAAATTCTTTGAAACTTAAAAATCACACATGAGCCGTACCAAAATGATGAGATATATTTCAATAATGATGAAAAATCTTATTTAAATATATAATTGAATGAAATTTATATAATCTGAGAATTACCAGTATTAACCCTTTTGTAATGAATAGAATTTGATTAAATTGATTTGAATTTATACCTGATGATTGCTAAAAACATTCCAAATTTATGAAACCTACATATTTATTTCTACAAGACAACATAAATATTACTCTGAAAAGTTTTCAAACAAAGTAAATCCATTTTGCTTGCTCAACTTTCACTTTTAGATGAAAAATATGATACATTTTTGATGCTACAGTGATTCATTAATAGGCATACATATTCATGTTTATTAACAAAAATCAGTATGTAAGATATGGGGAAAAGATTCTTTGACACTAATATAACAAAACATTTTTTGGACATTAATACAACTTCATAGATAATTTTACAAAAAGTATTTTTGGCAGCTAATGGTACTCCATACATACCCAGGTCCTGTTTATTTTTATCATTACTATTTTTTAAATGGCTATATCTCTTAAAAATAATTGTAAAAAATCTGAGGGAAAAAAAAGTATTTTAAGGGCACATGCAAAGTTTCATTCCCTTATTAAAGGGGTGGTTCATTGCGATTTCCCTTTTTTAACGTTAGTTAGTGTCTAATGTTGCTGTTTGAGCATAAACAATATCTGCAACGTTACGAAGCTGAAAGTTCAATGCAAACGGAGATATCGTCTTTTAAAATTCTGGCAGTTTAATGCCTACAAAAACGGCTGGTAGGGACTACAACGAGTTACTTCCCGGGTTCGTGACATCACAAACCCAGATAAACCCCGCCCCCAGGAAAAGGCAACAAAGGGGGCGAGGCCTGCGCTGCTTTAGAGAAGAGGAAGAGAAAACTAGAGGTGCACGTAAAAATCTATTCATATATGAATCACGATTCTGTCTTTTAACGATACTAATGGATTCACAAGTTTCAAAAACAAAAGCATTTACAAATAACAGCGTATCTAAAAGTATGAGAAAACAACAAGCAAAAAACATAGGCCTACCATTAAAAGCCGTGCTTGCAGAGGGTTCTGCACGATCCTCTTCAATAATATCCTCTGCTTCTCAATCGGGCTCAAACTAGGACAGAGAGGTGTGGAATAAAGGTAAATTATGTGAAAAATAATCCGTTTTTTAAAAAACGGAGCATTAACACATGTTAGACTGCACCCCATAAACACAATCAAGCCTAGAAAAAAAAACAGTGAACCACCCCTTTAACATATGCAGTGTTTAGACATGTTTATGTCTACTGGGTCAAAACAGACCTGAATGCATTATTAGGGTTAAGAAATTAATACTTTTATTCAACTGATTAAATTGATAAAAAAAACTGACAGTAAAGACATATATTTATTTATTGATGTTTGTCTCATTTTAAAGATTGTAGGATAAATTAAAGCATTCTTGGATATTACATGTTTTTATTCATATGTTTACTAAAAATCAGTAAAGATTTCACAGGAAAAAATACAATAGGGGGATGTTTTTACAATTATAGGCCTTGCTAAAAAATATTAACGACGGGAGGCATGTAGTAGGTTGTATATGACAGGTTTTTCAGCAATGTTTTGATCATGTTGATCATTTAGAGGCCTTAGAAATTTGGTGGAAGCCATCAGTATGGTATGTATGTAATATGTGACCCTGGACAAAACCAGTAGTTTCCACCTAAAAGCTTCATGTAGTGCATTGCACAAAAAGAAAAGAAAAACATTCTGGCTTCATGCTGTTGGTTAGACAGCTGGTTAGTGGGAGAGGGTGAGACAGCTAAGTTCTCACTGCAGATGACTCGATAGGCTTCCATCCGATAGTGTCCATGAGATGACACCCAATTTCTTGATCAACAACAACCTGGAAGCAAGCTACCAATGTGTTTTGATTCTTAGATTCCCAAATGTAACTTTGGTGAGTCAGTTTAAATATTCAAATTTGGCAAAACATGAAGTCTGAACTATTTAGCAACAATCTTTTGAGTTTCCTTCTAGCATAAGGCAACACATGCTGGAGGTTGAGGCTTGGAAGCAAACAGATGGGCCGAGATGAGATGATTTCAATCAAAATACAAGATCTCTTCCATCTGGGCTCTCATCGGCACTTTGAAGATAAAGTGTAATGTGACTATGTGAAGGCTTTCTGTCATTTACTGCACTTCTGCCAGCTGGAGATGGAGACAGTGGTATTAAATGGAAATATGGTCAGATCTGAATTTAAGACGAGAAAATCCTTAGACAAACGTGGAACGGTTTGGGAGTTGGATGTCAGACTTTGGATATTATGGAGGTTGTGCTTTTCGATTCAGCCGTACCGGTTGAATTTGCATCTCGTAGGTGAACTTCTCTGCCTCTAACGCTTTGTCTTTCCTTTTTTATTCTCGCCTAGGTGCTTTTGCTGGGAGGCCCAGACCCTGACATGGAACCGGTCTCATTAAAACTCACATCATGGTGTGAGTTCAAACCTTAATGGATCAGTCAAAAGCAGCTTACACACTGTCACCGTAATGGCTCCTCTCTCTCAGGAGAATTTTGATCCATGCAGAGGTTCGATAAATCCCACTCGCGGTGCGGCTGTGGTTGAAAGAAAATAAGAAAGAAGCAGGTGAGAGACTGTCACACCTTTATAATTTCACTGCATTTTACTGACTTCTGTCCTCTACTATTTCAACTTAGAGGTAAGTTGCTCAAAGGTTGCTTTTGCATAGCTCAAGAGAGTTGATGGCGTTTTTAGTTATGTTCCATGTAGATCATTTGTGACCCTGGACCGACAAAACCAGTCTTAAGTGTCAATTTTTCAAAATTGAGATTTATACATCATCTGAAGGCTGAATAGATATGCTTTCCATAGATGTGTGGTTTGTTAGGATATGACAATATTAGGCTGAGATACAACTATTTGAAAATCTGGAATCTGAGGGTGCAAAAAAAATCTAAATATTGAGAAAATCGCCTTTAAAGTTGTCCAAATGAAGTTCTTAGCAATGCATATTACTAATCAACAATTAAGTTTAGATATATTAATGGTAGGAAATTTTCAAAATATCTTCATAGAACATGATCTTTACTTAATATCTTAATGATTTTTGGCATAAAAGAAAAAGCTATAAATTTGACCCATACAATGTATTTTTGGCTATTGCTACAAATATACCCCAGCAATTTAAGACTGCTTTTGTGCTCCAGGGTCACATATAGTCAAAATAAGGATGTGTTTCCAAACTTATGTCATTAAGCTCATCCAACACGAAAGTTTACTATGCTATGCTTTCTTTGAAATTAGTGTTATTCTACTGTTCTGTTACACTTTTCCCTGATGTGTTTTTCTCCCCCTCAGGTTGTCACAAACAGAGACACACAAGAGACTTTGCTTTGCATTGCGTTCGTGTTTGAGGTGTCCACAAGCGACCACGGAGCACAGTATCACGTTTACAGACTCGTCAAGGACTGAACAACCAGCTGTGCCCAAACACCTCCAGACGCCGTTCATCCAATGCGTACCAACAAAGTGAGGAGAAGAAAATTAGACAAACCTGAAGCTCATGAACACAATCATGGACAAAACACAAACCGGGATCCTCTGCACTAGGTTGTGCTGTATATGTAGACGTGTTCCTTAAAAGCAACGGAAATGTACTTTCAGGGATAATTCTGTTTCTTACTGTTTTGTGGAGGAGAGGTCTTGAAAGTCTGTGGTGGGTGAACTCTGTCACGTTTATGGTACTAGACTCTGAAGGCACGAAGGTCTTTTTAAAAGCCATTGTAAGCGAATAGGAAAGGAATTCTGGTCGATACGAGTCTTTCTCTAATCAGGAACGTTGCGATAGCGTGTTTGTCTTTCATTTAGACGCAGCAGCTTGCTACCTCTGACCTTTGACAGATCGTGGGCTCAGATTGTGCTCAGAACGATGCGCAAGTCTTGAAAATAAAAGCGGTTTTGTGTAGGAAAGAGACCCTGAATGTTTGTTGTGATGGGAAGCGCAAGTTGCAAGAAGTCCAGGGTTCATGTTCCATGAATGTCACACACTTTTGCAAGTTTTACTCTCGATTTGGCTTGATTTTTGTTGTTTTGGAAAGTTTGCAAATGTGTGAGCTATGTCTACCTCCTGGTGTTACGTGGATATGTATGGAAGCCTGTATTCGCCACGGAATAAAAAACTTAATTGCGAGTTTTTATCTCACGACTTCTAGCAAATATTCTGGTGATTCTGTGTTCACATCTCACAATTTGGACTTTGTTTCTTGTAATTCTGAGAGAGAAAAATCTGATTTTTTTAAAGATATAAGCTCAGAATTGCAAGATTCTGGCTTTTCTTCTCACAATTCCGATGTTAACTCACAATTGCTAGTTTGTAACTAGATATAAACTCGTAATTGGGAGGAGAAAGGCCAGCAATTGTGAGAAAAACACAATTGTGAAATTAAAAAGTCGCAATTACCTTTTTTTACTTTTTTATTCTGTAGCAGAAAAAAAACTGGATTTTGAGATGTAAACTCACATTTCTACGAGAAAATGTCAGAATTGCAAAATATAAACACAATTATGAGATGTATAATTGGAATTGCGAGAAAAAAAGTGAAAATTCTGAGTTTATATCTCGCAATTATGTTTATGTCTCAGAATTCTGGCTTTTTCTCAGAATTTCTAGAAAAAAAAAAGAAAAAGAAAAAGTCGCAATTACCTTTTTTTCTTTCAGTAGCAGAAAAAAAACAATTGCGAGATGTAAACTCAGAATTCTAACAAAAAAAAAGTCAGAATTGTGAAATATAAACTCAGAATTGCAAGATATAAGTGCATAATTGTGAGATATAAACTCAGAATTGTGAGATGTAAATTTGGAATTGTGAGAAAAAAAAGTCAGAACTATGAGATAAAAAAAGTTACAATTAGCTTTTCTTTTTTCTTTCTTTAAATTATTCTGTGGTGAAAAGGGGCTTCCGTGGATATGCAAAGTGCGTTTTTAAAGCAGAGTTTTGATTTAAAACTATTTTTTCCATAATGATTATTGTAAATATGCATGGTTTTACTCGATTGCCCTCATTTTGAGTGCCTTATCACTTTTGTGCCATACTGGCGAGTGAGCAGGAAAATTCAATAGATCAGGTAACACTGTTTAAAACAAAGAGGGCAAAGCTGATGTTGCATAATGGGGTTACAGCGGGACAAAACAGATCTCGGCATGTAACACTTGGTTTTGATTTCTCAGTGTTTTTAATCAATGAACTACAATGAACTACATGCTAATTAATTACATCATCACCAAAGCAATTACACTTAACTGGGTGCTTGAGTATTTTCCTAATAAAAACATTGTGTTTTAACAGAAAGAAAGAAAAAGTAAAAAAAAAACATTGTATTTTAATATAAAATTTAAATATTTCAGTTGTTCTCTCAATTTTTGGAGTGTGGTAAGGTGTGGCAGTGGTCAACAGAAGATTTTGAACAGCACAAAGTGAAATTAGCTGTTAATTCCATATCAAAATGTGCAATAAGATCCGGGCTATACACTAATTCTCAGGTTCTTTACGTAATGTAGAAACACTCTAGGTTTATAATGTTAGTATATACAGTACGCGGAGTCATGGCTTCATTACACTTTTTACGTTTATTCTTCCACACATGGCATCCTTCTTGGTGTTGATAGTTTTTTAACCCACTTTCACCTGCGCTGGTTAGTACATACGATTTTAAATGTCAGACATAATCAGTGACGTTTAACTGTAGTCAGCTGATTATTTATGGCATCATATATTGGTACATGTATATACATTTGTCCAATACATTATGGAAAACACTTGTTGATGTTCCATAAATAACTGAGTTGTACATTCTCCTTTTGGAATTTTTTTTTGTTTTGTGAAAGTTTTTAGACTAATCTGTAATATCTTAACCAAAGAACCGAATGTGAACATCATCCCAGTCTTGCCTTATTGTGTGTTTCAGGTCTTCTGTGACATTTTAAGAGAAAAACCATGCTTCTGGATGAGTGTGTGTGTGTGTGTGTGTGTGTG